TACTGCCTAGGCTCTAACAAGAACACAGCTGCCAGGCAAGGACATAACAACAGTTCCTTCCCTTAGAGTGCTAAGGTTTAGATTCTCACTCACTCCCTCTTAAAGATTTCAACTTCATTTCTGTTTTCTTTTAATGTTTTGTGTGTGTACATGTGTGTGTGGTTGTCTAAGGAGACTGGGAGATGGCATTGGATTCCCCTAGACCTGGAGTGACAGGCACTTGTGAGCTGTCTGATGTATGTGCTGAGAACTTAGCACTTGGGTCCCTCTGGAAGAATACTTTGATGTCTTAATCGTTTGGGCATCTCTCCAGCTCTATATTTTAAATTTCCGTTGCCTATGATTTTCCTCTTGTATTCAGCTTCCTATCATGCTAATTCAGATTCACCAGGGACAGACTGTCAGCTGTTCAGTAACTAATGTCATCAGAGGGCTTCCCTGTCTCTGCCTACAGAACATATATGGCTGCTGTGCTTGGCTGGCAGAGGCAAGACTGTGTGTACAGTAAGGCCCACAAAACTAACCGTGTTTATCGTCAGGATCTTTTTTTGGGAAATTCTATTAACTATCTTTATTTATTTCAGTCTCTCTCGCTCTCTCTCTTTTTTTTTTTTTTTTTTTTTTTTTTGAGACCATTTCTCTGTGTAGCAGCCCTAGCTGTTCCTAAACTCACTCTGTAGACCAGGCTGACTTTTAACACACAGAGATCTGCCTACCTCTGCCTCCCCAGTACTGGGATTAAAGACGTTTGCCACCACAATGGCTTTTAATTTTTGCACTATCCTAGTATGAAATCTTTTCTTTTTTCTAGCCTGTTAGAGTATCAGACTGATTCCGTTTTTGTTTCATGACTGCAGTGCTAGGGATCAGACCTTGTTTGTGCTTGTGCCCCATAAGTGGTCTCCTAATGAGCCACATCCCAGTACTTGTGGCTTTCAAAAAAAAATCTTGACTTTCTTTCTTTTGTTTTTTTTTCATCTTTTATTTATTTACTTATTTTTTTGGTAAAATTTCTTTATGATGCCTAGGTTGGTCTTGATTATCGTGTTGTGTCTATCCCCCACCCCCACCCCAAACCTCCTCAGTGCTTGAGGGTACAAGTGCATCTCACCACATCTTTTAATCATGATAGCTGTTTATTGTTTAGTCTTTTAGATGTATCTTGTACCATGGAAGTAACCATTCTGTGCTTTCTATTCTGTTTCTTAGCAATTGTGAAGCCATCTTGAGTCATCAAAACCAACCTGGGCCACATGAAATCTCTGTCTCAAAAAAGGAAAAAGAGAAGATAGACGACCCTTAGGAGTAGAGTAGCTGTTCCAGGTGTAATGGTACACACTCAGGAAACAGACTAAGAAACTTCCTAGCACTCAGGAAACAGACATAGGTAGATTTCTGTAGGGTTGAGGCCAGTCTGGTCTATATAGTGAGTTCCAGAACATCCAGAGCATCCAGAGCTACATAGAGAGACCCTGTCTCAAAAAAAAAAAAAAAAAAAAAGTAGTTGGGTCCAAGGATCTGGGTTTCAAAATACTCAGTGTGTGCTGAAAGCTGAAATGTCCATGTAGCCTATGATACCCGCTACTCAGGAGGCTAAGACAGGAGAATGAGAGTGCCAAGGTTAAGGTCAGTGTGAGCTACAGGGCAAGTTCAAGACTAGCAAGGACACTGTAGACCCTGCCTCCAAAAGTAAAAAGAGAGTGCCAGAGAGATGGCTCAGTGGTTAAGAGCACTAAGTACTCTTGCAGAGGACCGGGTATGGTTCCTAGCACCCATATGGTAGCTCACAACCATCTGTAACCCCAGTTCTATGGGTCCTAATGCCCTCTTCTGACCTACTTAGGCACCAGCCACACATGGTCCACATGCATGCATGCATGCATGCATGCAGGGAAGCAAACATTCATATACTTTAAAAAGTGAATAAATAAATAAAAAGGCAGTAGAACACTTATTTACACAAGGCTCCGGCTTCCATACCCTGCACTACAAAGGAAACAAAAATGCAGTAAGCCCAAGGATCCCATGTCAGATCCCAGCCCAGCCCCTGCAGGTGGGAGCTGCTCTGCATCTGTCTTTCTTCCAGGTGATCCGCTGCGTTTCCACGCTCACTACATTGCTCAGTGCTGGTCTGCCGAGGACCCCATCCCTCTTCAGGACCTGGTCTCTGCAGGCCGCCTGGGAACCAGTGTCAGAAAGACCCTGCTTCTCTGCTCCCCTCAGCCTGATGGGAAGGTGGTCTATACTTCCCTGCAGTGGGCCAGCCTTCAGTGAGCTGGAGACTGAGGGGGATGTGCTGTGTGGGGCACCCCCCCCCCCCCCCCCGATGGTCACCCCAGCTCATCTCCGCATGGAAGCTTGTGCTCTCCTGCCCTGCCTGGTTAGTTCTGATTCCAGGGTTTTGAACACTACAGCCTTTGTTTGTTTTTTGTTTTCCTGTTTGAAGGCAATTACTACCTGTGTTGTTCTGTATTTCTGTTTCCACACTGAGCTTGTTGAGAATGGAGACTGTTTTTGTTTGGCTTTTTCTGACCTTGCGGGGCTTAGGTCCTAGCAGTTCTCAATAAATTTGTTGAATAAATGTTTGTATTTTGAGTCCTTACAACAATCCTTGAAATGTGGGGCTCTCATTCCTATATTCAGATGAGAAAAGGGAAGGGGAAATGACTTGACCAGGCTCACAAAATTGTTAAGTACTGGCCCTGGGCCTTTATACCTGGTCTTTGTGATTCAGGAATCTGCCTCTTCGCATTGCACTAGGGGTTGCCTTGAAGATATTTTCATATGACATTTATTTTATTTTTTTAAAGATTTATTTATTTTTATATGAATACACTGTAGCTGTCTTCAGACACACCAGAAGAGGGCATCAGATCTCATTACAGATGGTTGTGAGCCACCATGTGGTTGCTGAGAATTGAACTCAGGACCTCTGGAAGTGCAGTCAGTGCTCTTAACCTCTGAGCCATCTCTCCAGCCCTCATATGATGTTTATTTATTGTAAGTATACCTGTGTATGTACGTGAGCATGCATGTGCCATGGAACTTATGTGGCGGTCACAGGACAACTTCAGAGAGCCTGTTCTCTTTTTACCATGTGGGTCTCAGCGAAGGAGCTCAGGCTATCAGGCTTACCATCAAGAATCTTTAAGGGCTGAGCCACCTTACTGGTTCCCCTTGAGATTACTACAGACTTTGAGATGCGTGATGTAAACTAGAACTGTTGCATGAGCTGGTTGTGGAGGTGTATACCAGTCCAGAAAGAAGACATGCCGAAGAGGCAAAGGCAGGAAGATCATGAGTTTGAGGCCTGCCTGGGCTACATTTTTGGGGTTGTAGAGGCTCAGCGGTTGAGCTTTTCCAAAGGGGCAGCGTTCAGTTCCCAACACAGAAGAGGACAGCTCCTAAGTGCTTGCAACTCCATCTTCAGGGAATTTGGTGTCCTATTCTGTCCTCTAAACACAACTGTACTCAGGTATATGTACTCACTCAAACATACACATAATTAAAAAAAAAAAAAGAACAACTCAAAAGATGTGATTGTTTATACCTTTAATCCCACTGTTCAGGTGGGAGAGGCAGGGGGCTCTCTGAGATCAAGACTAGCCTGGTCTACATGATAAGTTCCAGGCCTGTAAGGCCTGTCTCAAATAAATCAACAAATAAGGGCTGGAGAGGTGGCTCAGTGGTTAAGAGTACTTGGTGTTCTTGCAAAGGACCTAAGTTGTGTTCACACACATATAGGGCTCATAACTCCAGTATTTGGGTATCCAACCCCTTCAGACCGTTGAAAGTCCTAGGTACACACATGGGTTATTTGTGTGGATATAGGCAGGAAAAATACTTGTACACATTAAATTAATCATTTTTAAAAATTAAAAAGCACATGTTTGACACAGAAAGTAGGCTAAGATGACTCCCTGTCCCTACCAGTCAGTCCTCCCAGACTAAATGAGCAAGATCTTTGCCTTTTGAGTGTGCAAATGCAAATGTAAATTCTTACCAACCACATGGTTAAAATAAAAATATCTGAGCTAGGCCTAGTGGTATAGGCCCGTCCTCCTACTATTCAAAGACAGAGGCAAGGACATTATGCCTGTGAGTTTGAGGTCAGCCTGACTACACAGTTCATAGTTCCAGGATAGCCAGGGCTCAGACCTCATTTCCCCTAAATAAAAAAACGTCATAAAATATCAGATATACACAAAACTGGGCGTGGTAGTGCATGTCTTTAATCCCAGCACTTGGGAGACAGAGCCAGGCGGATCTCTGAGTTTGACTAGGAAGCTCCAGGACAGCCAGGACTAAGAAAAGACCCTGTTACAAAAAACAAGTATCAGTTGAACGAAAGTAGAATGTAATTCCAGGACTCGGGAGGTATAGGCAGAAGGATCAAGAATTCATAGTCATTTGATAGGAAACCCTACATCAAAAACAATAAATAGATTAGGAGAGACTTGCCTATAGGCCAAGTGGAGGCATTTTCTTAAATGAGTTCCTCTTTGCTCGTATGTCTAGGTTTGTGTCAAGCTGTCAAAACGAACCAGCACAATATGTGTATATCAATATTAACATAAGCTCAGCACGACTTATATATTTATATTATTTTTATAATATATTAAGTTTGTATTTTTTTTTATTGTTACATTTTGTTGCTCACATCTAAAATCTTAGCATTTTTAAGGGCAAGGGCGCTGCCATGAGATTGAGACAGTGGTTGGGAACCTTGGCTGCCCTGAATTCCCTGTAAGTTTTTACCAAGAGTCTTTGTTAAAACAAAAAGTGACAACTGTGGTTACTCAATCAATGCTTTCGCCCTAGAAGGGGCGGACTCATTAATTCTTAGATAAACCAAGATGCCACCATAGCTCTTTAGTGGCCTAACCATCTCGCTGGTAAGTCCGCCCAGAAAAAAAGCGCCTCTCTAGCCCGCTTGCTCGTCTCTATTGCTTTCCTGCTTCTGATTGGTGCAGCCGCGGGTGCGCGATGACGTCACTACAAGGCGACGTTGCTATAAGATCGCGATCAGGCGGCCACGTTTCTCTTTGTCACGGGCCTGAGTTCGTAGGTGAGCGTCTTGGTTGTTGTTGACTTCATCTTTTAGGGGGTGATCATGGAATGTAACGGAGCCAACCGAATCTTCATGAACACGCTGAGGAAGAGGGGTGGGAAGAAGGTGGCTGGAAGTTATTAAAACACGGTTGTGGAACAATCCCGTTTTCAAATTTTCTAAGGTTCTCCCGAGAGCCTCCCGAGAGTTGGTGCCGCCATGTCCTAGCGGGGGTTTGTTGCACATGCGCCACTAGGTTTTATATATATGTATATTTTAAAACGACCTTTTACTGCGCAGGCGCAGCGGGCCTAGCGAGGTCAATATGCCGGTCGCCAGAAGCTGGGTTTGTCGCAAAACCTATGTGACCCCACGGAGACCCTTCGAGAAATCACGTCTCGATCAGGAGCTAAAGTTGATTGGTGAGTGGCCAAAGTAGAGTTTCGGATTGCGGATCGGAGAAGAGTTAGGTAGCCATGATGTTTGTCTTACACGTGGTCGTTTTGGAGAATCCTGTGTGGCGCCACCACAGAGGATTACTGTGTAGATTAGTTTTGTGTTCTCTAGTCACCATGCAAATGTAGTAACCCATGGTTCTGGCCCTGTGGCTTCCTCCCAACCACGTGCAGGAGAGTATGGACTCCGGAACAAACGTGAGGTGTGGAGGGTCAAATTTACCCTGGCCAAGATCCGTAAGGCTGCCCGGGAGCTGTTGACACTGGACGAGAAAGATCCTCGGCGTCTGTTTGAAGGTGTGTATGAGCGACCCCGTATTCAAAAGGAATGGTGGTTGCTGAGTTTTTAGGGCGTGGGAGGCGTGACACTGAATAAGTTGGGCTAGGTGAGGATTGTTTGAGAACAGGGTCTTGGTGGTGGAGATTAGCCTGGAACTAAAATGCAAGTTAGTCTGTCCGTGAGCCACCTTCTCAGGGAATGTTTCAACACAGACTTTACTAGAGATTGATGTTTTGGAGTTACATGAGAATCCGAGCTGCAGGTATATGAGAGTTATTTTTGGTTTTATTGAGAAGTGAGAGTCGCCAAGGCGGCTTCTCATATCATTTTATAGTGAAACTACTTAGCCATGGTTAGGGAAAAGTTCTAGCGTTTGGAGTTGACACTGCCTTGATTCATCAGATCCTGCATTTCCCATGTGGTGGTGACTACCAGGAAGGGTCTGTTTCTTGATTGTCAGCTTTCAGATTAGAAACTGAAATACCAGCATGTGCCACAAGGATTCTTAGTTTTAGGTGGTATAAGAGTAATGGTGTAATCTCTTCCGTCTGGGGGACATATTTTTGTATTTGCATCTGGCTAACAATGATGGAATGTTAGAAATTGAGCCTATATTTTAGGGTTCTAGAAGAAGCTAGAAGGTGGCGTGTTTTTGTAGTTTGGTTCTCCGTACTTAGGTTTCTTATTGGGTAACTGGGCCTACATACACAGTTGATTTAACTCCTGGGAGAATAGTCTGAGGAATAGATGTAGGCTGTTTCGTGTATATATTGTTGGCCTTGTGGTTCTGTGTAGTTCAGATTACCTTTGAGCTCTGCTCTCCCTAGCCTCCCAGGTACTGCAATTCATGTTGTGAAAGTAAAGTTTGTTTTTAAAGTTGAAAGTTAGAGCTCTTAATCTTGTTAAAAGCTGTAAGCCTGTGGAATGCTTGTTGGTGAAAGGGTGGCCCAGTGGCCATGTCAGTGTCTCAAACTACCAGGCACATCACTGGCTTTTTTCCCCTGAGCTCATTGCAAAAATGAGTGAAAGCTGTAGTAATGTGCCTTAGGGAACACTGAGAGAGTCTGAGGTCAGGCCACATTTGGCTGCTATCCCCCCATCACAGGCAACGCTCTACTGAGGCGGCTTGTTCGCATTGGGGTGCTGGATGAGGGCAAGATGAAGCTGGATTACATCCTGGGCCTGAAGATTGAGGATTTCTTGGAGAGACGGCTGCAGACCCAGGTCTTTAAGCTGGGCCTGGCCAAATCTATTCACCACGCCCGTGTGCTCATCCGCCAACGTCACATCAGGTAAGCTGCAGCTGGGCCTGGCAGTCTTACTTTATTTGTCTATCTGTGCTGTTGATTTCCTTTGCTAAGCTGCCATCCCTATCTCCTGTGCAGCCTTTGGAGCTGACAAATGGGAGCTTGCCCTTGAGGGTTCAGAATTGTGCCTGCAAGCAGCTTATGGGGGAATTGGGGACAGCCTTGTTTCCCCATAGCCCAGCGCAAGGGTCACTGCGGCTCAAGCCGTACACCTTGTGAAGGTGTCTGCCAGGCATGCAAGCAGCTGGACAGGTAACAGCTCTTGGTGCCCCCTTTGAGGGAGAGGATTGTTTGGAGTCAATGTTGAGGTGACAAAGCACAGTCTACGGAGTTGGCTGTGTGAGGTACAATCTAGACATTCATTGCTATATTCCTACTTGATAATTTGCCAGTTGATAGTCCACCAGTCTGAAGTGCCTAGGGTAAATGGAAATGCAAGCTCATTAACCCTTGTGTTATCATGACAACTACACAGTGTAGCCTCTGATGTCTCCCTCACAAGCCTTCAGTTATGGGCAGAGATGTTCTATTGTCTGAGGTTGTTTGGGGCCACATGTCATTACAATGTGGATAGGAAGCAAATGCAAAGCATTAGTTGGGGGACTCTGGTTTCCAGGTTACCATAGAGATGTAAGTCTGTGAGGTCTCAGTGCCCTGAGCTTACTGTCAAAGGACAGGACCAAATGTTCAGCCTTTCACTTTGTCCTCTGAACCTGTTCTTCCCATTCAGGGTCCGCAAGCAGGTGGTGAACATCCCATCCTTCATTGTTCGTCTGGACTCCCAGAAGCACATTGACTTCTCCCTCCGTTCTCCTTATGGTGGTGGCCGTCCAGGCCGAGTGAAGAGGAAGAATGCCAAGAAGGGCCAGGGCGGCGCTGGAGCTGGTGATGATGAGGAAGAGGATTAAATTAACACCCTGCTGCACTGGGGGGTTGTCAAGTTTTCCAGTTGACAATAAAACCGAATGGATACTTGGTTTATTGGTGTGCCTATGTAGTGAGTGCAACTTCTGCAGTGGGACGAAGCCCTACTGCTCGTGTTGCTATCCAGCTTAGTTTGTTAAATGTTCCCAAGAGGGGAGACACTTGGTTGACAGATGTCACCTTCACTGTGATACAGTGGAAAGCTATATAAACCCAGCAGCCATTTGGAGCCAAATTCCAGTCTTTCGTGAGATTGACTAGTTGAAAGCTTGCAGGGTGGCTTTTGTAAGTTGTGTGTCTCAAGATGTGGTTTTGGTGAGCAGGAAATAAGCTAGTGAGCTGTTTGCCCAGGGCTGCTTAAGAAATGTTCTAAAGCTTTGTGCTGTCATGGTCAAGAGGGAGGTTGGCTTCCTCATTCTCTACTTTGCCTTGCCGGGAAGCTTTAGTCAGATAGGAAGATACACAGTTACACTGACCTCTGGGGAAATGAGAACTGCTGGAAATTGAAAAGGCAGCTGTAAGGATAGCTGCTTTGCTACTTGTGATTCAGGTCAGTTAAAAGGCCATCTTCAATGCAGGAAAAACTGCTGTAAAAGTACTGTAAAGCTGGCATAGAATCTCAGGGCAATGGCAATTGACCCCTGTCTGGAGGTCTGCCTGACTGTAATTCCATCCATGGCTAAGTCACATTGATAGGCTACATGAGGATGTGATTTGGGTAGATCAGGAAGCAGTCACCTTCCATAACAAGCTAAAGTGCCCTGGAGTTTCCCAGGGCTGAGAGTTCATGGCAACATTCTGCCTTCTGTTTAGGGTTTTGACCCTTGATCTTTAAAAATGGCAAGAAAAGGTACACCTTACTGATACAGGTGGGGTAGCAGCCAGCCATCTTGAACTATGTGGACTAGCTGGAGGAAGCTCGAAAGATTGGGGGTGTGCTGAACTGAGTCTTCTGTACGAGATCTTTATTAATACTAATGGCAGCCTCTTAAAGTTTTTTTTTTTCACATGAATTTTCTTGAGGCACTTCAGAATATTTCATTAAATATGCCTAGAAAAAAATAAGTCAAAAAATGTGTCTAGGCACATTAAACAAAAGAGACTCCTGAATTTTTGGCCCCTTCAGAAGTAAGCTCGCTCAACTAGGCACCATCAGGAGTGAATAGGAAGGACCTGGCACCAAGTTTTCCCAAGATTTTTCAGATTAACCAGACATTCACAATGAGATTAATCTTATCCTTTTACCCATCTATACCTGTCCATATTACCTGTCCTGCCCTTGTTCTCTACTTTCAGCATGGTTCTTTTCTACCCGACACAGCTTCTCTAGAATGTGGGGTTGTGGCTCCCTGTGGGTGGTTCTCAACAGGTTTGTGTCTTTGTAGATGCTGCAGGAATTTGGAAGTTGTCCCCAGCCCACCCTGGAGCTTCTTCAGAGGACTGTTTTGTCCCCATGTAGAATTAAGGAGAATTTTTCTTGGTTAGAAGTCATTGAGTCATAATAGCTTCAGTATTAAAATTTATGAATTAAAATTTCATGAATTAAGCCTCAAACCCAGTTGAGGTGCAAGACCTTGACAGTGAAGGTTCTTAAAACTGAAAAAATTCAAAGGCAGGGAAGATGGGTCAGTCAGTAGTATATACAAGTGTATGAGCCTGAATTTGGGTCCCCAGCACTGACATTAAAAGCTGGGTGCTTGTGGGGAGGGGAAAGAGTAATGTTCAAAACAGTTTGTGAAAAGTGTTGCTTTAAACTCAGTGCTGGGGAGGTGGAGACAGGAAAATCCTTGGAGCTCCCTGGCCACCCAACCTACCCAAATTCATAGGCTCTGGATTCAGGGAGTGATGCTGAATCCTGTTTACCTGCCTCCTCCCTCCAAAAAGATGAATCATAGAAAAAGATATCCAGTGTTGCTGTGACTCCTCATGTATTTAAGCATACACAACAGGTAAAACTGTAGACACTGGAAGATGGAAGGGATACCCTGTGTTTATGAATCACCAGTGTAAAAATGTCTATATGAACACAATCTCCATCAAAATTCCAATGACATTCTTCACAGAACTAGAAAATCCTAGACTGGGTGTGGTGATGGATGCCTATCACCCCAACATTCTGAAGGCCAATGACTTTGAGGCCAGTCTGATATACACAGTTCCAAGTTAGCCATCTAGAACCCCACAGCAACCTAACCAGTGTCATTGCCACAAAACCAGGCACAGAACAGACAGAAAAGGACCCAGAGCTGGACAAGGTGGCCCAAGCCTGTGAACTAGACATTTAGAGGGTCGAGCAAGATGATCAGAAGTTCAAGGTCACAACAGTTAAATAGCAAGTTTGAGGTCAGTCGGCTACGTCAGTACATCTAATGAAAAGAAAAAGATAACAGGACCCAGAAGTAAACCTACTGAGGATGGGATTTAGTGTTCTGAATGGCAGCAGGTGCTCTAACACTGAGCTACATCCCTAGCCCTGTTACCTTTCATTTTAGGACAGGATCTTACTAAGTTGTACAGAAGGGCCTTGAACTCACCCAAGCCAAGGCAGATTTTGTAGTTTCTATCCTTGTGTTTCAGCCTCCAATGTAGCTGGAGTCTTAGGACTGTGCCACCAAGTCAAGCAATTTTTACATTTTAAGCTACTTGGGTGTTTTCAAAACCAATATTAAAACAACAAAAAAGAAAAATAAACTCCAGTGTGGTGATGTCCTTAAAAAAATGTTCCTGAACTTTAATTTTGAATTTTTAAATTACTTTTTAAGGGATCACATCTAGGTTGCTGTGAAAGAGCTTCCTAAGATTTCTAGTTTCCGTGTTGGTTTTGTTAATGATTATTTTCTGGTCTGATAAACTATGTTTGGTTCTGTTTCCTCTTTCTGTAGTTTCAGAATGTGATTCAAATACACAAACATTTGGAAAAAACTACCAGCAAAGCTTCCAGAAAGAGAATTTCCAAAGGGGAACTATTCTAGTAACAGGATGTTCAATGTGTGGAAATTAACTCAGATTTGTATTTATTAGGCAATAAAAATAACTTATTGACGTCAACAGATCTGTCCATTTTATGTACATCTCCTAAGATGTTCCTATAAAATTGTAGTGTTCTGCTGTTACTACTTTAAATAAATGTAGGGAGGCTTTGGAGATGGCTCTGTGGTTAAGAGCATGCACTGCTCCTGCAGAGAACCTGAGTTCAGTTCCCAGCACCCACAGTGTGCAACTCAAAAGCATATACCTCCAGCTCCAATATCCATCCAATCGGTCCTCCATGAGTACTCATATACACATGGCATATATTCACACATATATACATACATACATACATACATACATATACATACGTACATACATACATGCACACACATACATACATGCATATACACACAAAATATATCCTTAAAAAATAACATGAATATAGGGTTGTGCATGCCAGGAGCCAAGGCAGAGGGACAGCAAGTTTGAGGCCAGCCATCATAGCCTATACACCACCATACCAAGCTTTCATTTGTGGTTATTTTTTGTCTACTTTTTATTTGTTTTATTTACCTATTGGGTATGGGAAGGACACCCAGGACTTAGGTAGAGGTGAGAGAAAAATTCTTCCAATCAGTTTTTTCCTTCCACTGTTCCTGATGATTGAATGTAGTATAACAGTCCTGGTGACAAATGCCTTTACCTACTGAGCGATTTGAGTGAGCAAACACAGAGATCTGATTGAAAGCATGCTCTTTCAAGCTTGGCCTATTTATTTGTTTTTAAAAAAGGACTAGTGTGTTCCAGGCTGGTCTCTTACTCCTAGGCTATGTAGCTGAAGATGGCCTTGAACTCTTGACCCTCCTTTCCACTCTTCTAAAATGCTGGGATTTCAGCTGTGTTCTACCCTGGCCATTGGTGGCTAATGTTTAAAACATGTCTCACTCTGTAGCCCAGGCTGGCATGAAATTCACTAGATATCCCACCATGGCCACAAAATAAATTCCCCTCCTCAGCCTCTCATTTGTTGGAATTATGGGGCTGCTCAACTGTGCCTGTAAATTTTCTAATTTCGTGACTTTGTTGAGAAATATCGTTAAAGTTAGCACTCAATGTAAAACCTTCCCTTCTATTTCATTTCTCATTTTCACTTGATTATTGGAAAATCTCTGGCTTTATTTCCAAACTGATGTTACTTAAAGTGCAGTCAGGTTTCCAAAAGTTCCCAAAGTCCCTTGGAGGTGTCTGTTAGTCATCCTGGCAGGCAGAGGGTCATTGCTCCTTGTCCTTTGGAACAGCCCCCAGACGAGCAGTCGCCAGAGCAGCATATACAGTTGGCTCCTCTGGGGCTTCCTCTGCCTGAGAGAGAGGAGGTGCAGCTGTCCCTTGTCTGAGTGTCCTGCTGCACAGCTGGGCATAGGTCACATCCTGGGGCTCCTTGGATTCGGCAACCTGGAATGAGAGAGGTTGACAGGAAGATATATGCTTGGCTTGGGGAACCTGCATGTCTGTGGAGGATAGGACTCACCTGACTGTCCACTTCTCGGCCCTCTTCTGCTTGATCATGTTGTGTGTTCAGCTGTTCCCGTGACATGACAGAAGGTGAGACAGCTCCTGCCCTCCTGAGCCTGGAGGGTTTCACCTGGGCATATGTCTCTCCCTGGGGATCTTCCTCAGATGGTCTCTGTAGCAGAGAAGTAGTGAGGTATGTATAATGTTTTCCTATTCCCCTGGGGACCTCCTCTGGCCAGTTTTCATGGCATGACCAGAATGACCTGTTTTGATTACTGCCTCTCTGAAGGGATCATCCTGGACTCCCTTCCTACAGTTCTGGCTTAAACTGACATTCTAACCCTTGCTGTCTTGGCTCTAGAGACAAAATTCATCTTCCTGAAAACATGTTTCGGTGGGGGGGGGGGGGTTGGAGAGATGGCTCCATAATTAAGAGCACTGGCTGCTCTTGCAGAGGACCTGGGTTTGGGTCCAAGAACCCCCAGAGAAGTCTACAATCATCTGTAACTCTAGTTCCAGGGTATTTGACATGCTCTTCTGGCCTCTGTGAATATCATGCAGGTATGTGATGC